TGTGGAGCCTGAGCAAAAGCTTTCATTTTACCATGAACGTATTTGTGTAAAATCATCATTCCAATCCTGCATCACTAACATCTGACGCTACTACAGTCTTTGCATGCACTGCTGGTGTATCCCATTTCAAATGGTCTATTTTCTGCGATACAACAATTCTTTATAGTCTGTCCAACTCTTCATTTACTTTGTCTAATGCTGCAAATTGTATGAATTTTGAACACTGACCCAGTTCTTTAGACAGAACATCAGGAAAACATTTTTTTAATTCTCCCTTCAATTTTTTGTGGTGACTTTTTAAATTTGTTGCTTGTCCACTTACATTTTTACAATTAGCATTCATTGGCAAATCCCATAGTTCAAATAGTTCAATCCAGTCCATACCGAATAGATCTGCCACATTTCTTAGAACATAAGCATTTGTTTTCACCTGCTTATTTTGAAAATAAACATCACGTTAATTTCCACCCCAAATTAATTTCTTGCCAGAAACTGAAGTTGTGACTTTGTAAGTCCTTTTTAATACAGGTTTCCAATTTCTTTGCATGTGGTTTTGTTTACTATTGAAATGTCACTACCAGTAACTATCTAGTAACATTTTTACAGCCACATTATTGATTGGCATGTTAACAAATTTTCTTTTGTTTCCTCTTCCTATTTTTTTCCATCACAATATTGTGTATTAATTTATTCCTGCAAAAATTGTGATCTGATATGTCCTTTTTTACCACAGTTATAGCATTCAACATTTTTTCATGGACAGTCTTTCCGAAGATGAAATTTCCCACATCTGAAACAAGATTTTATATTCCTTTTTGTGAATATTTTTCCTTAGCTTTTACCAATGCTCATTCTTTATTCTGAAGCTTCAGACTTAGCAATGCTTGGCAATCATTCACTATTTCCTGTAGTGTTGTTTATATTCAATCTTGGCCTAAAATTTTCATGCTAACTTTAGCATGTTTTTTGTTATTAGACCTTGCACAAAAATAAATCCCTTGAACATATCCAGAGTCATTTCCTTCAGATTAAATTGTTCACATTCCCTGCTGATGGTATCCACATATGTGACAAAATCTTCATCCTCTTTTTTGGTTAAATTCATGCACTTCCAATGAGCATCGAACAGAGCACTTGTCACTAAAAATTTTCTTCAGAATGTGTACTGTGTCTTCAAATCCTATTTCACCTGGTTTTCTTGGTAAAATATAATTGCAGTACTTTTTGTATTTTTTATTGTCCTCTCAGCCACTGCATTCCTGGCTAAATATTTTTCCATGTCTGCGAAAATATGCAGCAAAAGTCAGTCCATCATCAGGATTATATATGAATTCTGACAGTGTTTTGCACCACATCTGGTGTAAGAGATGTTGAAGTATTTTTCTTCAAAACCAATTCCAACAACTCTTGAAGTTGTTTTTGCAACTATAGCAACTGTTTGGTATTTTGTTGTTGAATTTCAACTATTGAAGCCAAAAATTTTTTCATGTCTGCAAGAAAATTTTTTTGTCTTTAAACCAACATGGTTGAAATTCTTGTAATTCCTCTTGCATGCATACGAGTTTTGAAAATCTGGTTGGCCACCATAACACCGCTTATAATATGGTGCATGTTATACTTGCTTGAGTTCAAGTTCCTCGTGGTCAACTGTTATAATGTTGCAATTTTATCCTGCACTTGTGTTCATGTATCCTCGTTGACAACTACTATAACTTTCTATTGTCAGGTCATTGTCATAACACCCACTTGTATTAGTATAATGTAATTCTTTTAGTATTCTCTATATGTAATGCTTAGGCTATTGCTGTACATCAGTATAGTTAGTGCGAACACTAACTCCAATATGCCTACTACTAACCTCATACCATGGAACACTTTTTAGTATTGGACAAGTTCATAGAATCACTGGGGGTTTTATTCTTTACTCCACATCATTCAAGTTGTCCTTTTACAGATATGTTGTAGTTATATCTGAAATATTTAATGTTTTTCCTGAAGGCATTAGTGTTAAGTAAACCTGAACTAAATCAGGGAATCTGTATTTGACCATTAAATAAGAAGTGTGTTTGATTTTGAAAATTAGTTGGTTAGTGGATTTTGTTTAGTGGCATGTGGTTTATTTAATGCCGAAATGTAAATATTTTGAACACAATCTTATGGCTTCAAATAAATATATTTTGAATGCAATTGTATTCTTTCAACTACAGATAAAGTGTATTGTTGATTTTTTTTTTTTTTTTTTTTTTTTTTTTTTTTATATAAAAATGTATTATTGGTATTTTTACTATAAAAATGTATTTTTATATGTTCATAATGTTTTATTTTTTTGAGATCACTATTTGCCCATAGCTGGGACCCTAACAGAATATTTTGAAATACTATTTAATTTTAAAAATTGTAGGATATTATATGGACTAATGTCATGAAAGAGTTGGTTGTTTGGTCAGTTGATTTTGTTTGCTGGTATATCAAACTAATGGGTTATTTAATACTGAAATCTAAATATTTTATGTGTAATTTTATGCTATCAACTACAGTTATTTTGTACATAATTTTATACTTTCAGGGTAAAGGTATGTTTTTAGATAAATAGTTTGTAGATCATAAAATGTATTCTTGGTCATTTTATTATAAAAATGTATTTCATATTTTTTTAGTGTTGCATTGATTGTCATTTTGCTATACAAATGTAATGTTGGTCATTTTATAAATATATTGTTTATTTTTGTTTTGGGATTCACTATTTGCCCATAGCTGGGACCCTAACAGGTGCTATCACCATGGGTCAGGGTGTTACTGAGAACAGCAATTAAGGGGTGATTCCATGCTTCCCGAAATCTCCAACCTCCTGAGGCCTTGTTGCTGGATATAGTTTATTGTCTTATCCAGGACAAGATTTTGTTAATATTTAAATATCTATTCATTTTCTGATAATGATATGAACAAATATTAAAATATTAACACCCCTGCACAAATGAATGGTAGCATCTGTATATGATGGAAGTACTGTAAACATTTTGGCCTGACCAAGAAAGTTTTCCAAAAGAAATTCTGATATTTGATCAGAAATTAGGGAGTGAGTTGGTTTGAAAACTTTTTAACACCTACTTGTATAATATACTATGCGTATTTATATATTTTTGGCGCAATAGTTATTTTCTGTGCAATGGCAACGCCAAATGTCAGTCCTTTGAGACAATGGTGAACTGTTCAAAAAGGTTTATGAAGCTGGGAAGTAAAAAGATTGACTTAATGGACATATATCCATAAGTTGGAAACTGCATATAAAGATAGTAATGTGAAAGCATGATAATAGCAAAAACTTAGTAAAATATCTTTTTGATATCTGCCATCATTTTGATGGCATATATGAATTATATCTGTATTATAAAAGAGGAGTTAAATCTCTGTCCATCATACATTGTGTGTGATTCTGCATGCACACACATATATGTGCATATGTCTGTGTTGTGTGTGAGTAACTTATATGTGCTTGTGCAATTTAATGTTTACACATGCACAGTTTGGTGGAGTACGAAATAGGACATTAGAATAATACATTTCCTTCCCAAACGTTCTAGACAACTTCTGCCCTAGGCTGAGCAATAAAAGCATAAAATTGAATACAAGAAAAAAGTTGTTTTTTTTTTGTTTTGTTTTGTTTAAAAAAATCCCACTGTTCAAGATTTTATTGAAGTTTTTGGAAATTATTTAGTAATGAAGAGACTTATTTTTAAAGCTTTTTTTTTTTTGTACAAATTTTGTAGAAATATTTTTAAGTCAAAATTTATATATGCACATACAAACATACCCACACATGCTGTTTGAATAAATTTGAAATGATCATAAATATGTGGCCCTTTTGTAAACCAAATATATTTTTAATAAATGTAGGATTTTAAATGGACAACAAATTAGAATAGAAATTTTATCATCCTGCAGTCATCAAAATTACAGGTATTCAACTAGTTACTAATTTAGATAAAAATCAGTGAAGGAAGCAGTAACATTTGTTAGCAGTGTAACAGGGGAGAGCTAGGGAAGAATGATTTAATTTCTATATCTGCAAACGATATGTTCCCAAAAGGAACAAGCACCATGAACTTGTAAGCTGCTGGGGAGGCAGATTTAGCCTCTGCTCAGGCCATGGGAGGTCCCAGGTTAAAGAAAGCAGCCTTTCAGTTTAGCTGCTGTAAACAAACTGAGTGACTGCTGTTTTGGTCATTGTATGGAGTCATATCACTAAGCGATCTGTCATGTGACCCATTAGAGATAATCACCTTCTGTATCCCTACAGCAGGAATCTTTTAGTGATTTCTCTTCAAAATATAAAACCCAATTGTTCTTATCTGGGAGGAGACAATTTAAGAAAATACAACAACTTGAAATATAAAGTCTTAATTGGAAATTGTATAATCTATTCACATTGTACTGCTTGGAAAAATGCCTGGGGTTTGAAAACTTTCTGTCAGGTACCCAGAGCAGTAATGATAAAAAAAAAAAAATTAGATCTTACCAAATTTCTTGAAGATTTTCAAACCATGTTTCATAAGAGATTTATGGAAGGAGGCCAATTTTTATACAAAAGAGCTGAGTGACCTTACTGTGAGTGGGTAGAGACCCTATATTAGTTGTTCATTTCTCTCTTGGTTCTATTACTAATATTATGAGAATGAGAAAAATAATATATATTTATGAGAAATGTCAGTTTAAAAAATATTGATATACTCTTAATGGTTTTGTCCTGACATGTTTAATCATTGGTGGTGTAAAGAACAAGCAAGATTAAGAAAAGGAAATCCATGGGGCTTCAAAGTGAAAAATAATTGCATGTAAATATCATCTCTTGTCTGAAAAGGAATACAGGATTAATCTCTTAAAACAAAAGCAAAAAGTATCTTTATACAAATGTAACAATTCAGTAGCAAAGATGAGTGTATAGATAATGAATTTATTATCTTACCTTTTCTTTTTCGTTTCTCCTCCTAATGTTTTTTCAGATCCTGGCATTGAAAGGTTGGATAGAGTTGGCATCAGGAAAAGATCCACAGGCCAAAAAGGCTTACAAATATTTTGATGAAGCCATGCAAATGTAAGTTAATTCTTCTCTTTCAAACAACTTTCCATTTGTTCTTTTTTTTTTTTTTTTTTTTTTAAATTCTTTTCTTTCTATTTCAATCAAGCGCTATAAAAGTGTGACATTTTTTAATTGCTTTCCTCCTGTGTGTGCATTGGACAAGAAAATTCAAGAATAGTTGAATGGAATTTCATGGAACTTACCAGGTTACTTCGTTAACAAATGCCTTCCTAGAAGTAGATTTACAAATGCCTGGCTTTTAAAATGTCAGATCGTCTACACCTCTCACATTGAATGGAATGTATAGGAATTTTTTTTGTGGGGTCATATTGTGCACAAGACCAAAAAAAGAAAAGATATATATATATATATATATATATATATATATATATATATATATTTCTTTTTTCTCTTGTTAGGAATTCACCAATAATAAAAGAATAAATGTATCTATCGTATCTATTTACTTAAATAAAAGCTGACAATAAAGGTATTTGGACTCTATGATCAGATTTGAGTAAACAGAAAGTTTTGATTAATTAGGTTGTTGGCTAATCAAAGTTTAAAATACCAAAACTTAAAGTATATAATTGTCTATTTGGCTGAATGAAACATAGTTATTTAAGTTGGTCATTGCTGACTCATTCACTACTTAAGCAGTCTTGGTATTTTTATTTTATTTTTTATTTTATTTATTTATTTATTTTTTTTTTTTTTTTTTTTAGAGTATTGGTACAATTATGTGTGCATTTAAAATTCCAAACTTCTTCAATTATTTTTACTCGATGCCAGCATTAGTTTTCTTAAGATATAACCAGAATTCATTTGATGAATTCTTCAAATGTCAATAAATGATTAGTGTAGTTCTGTATGTCATTTAATCTAGAATATGAAAAAGAATTCAATGACTTTAAGATTTTTATTTTATTTAAATATTTATTGAATTTAATATTGTTTGTTTCCGACAATATATTATACTCTTTGTTTTTTAATTGTTTCACCCCCAAGTAAGGCAATAAAGTCACTATGATGCAAATAGTTTGCTACTTCATATGACTGGGGAAGCCACCTAATTGGAGCAGATTTCTTTATTTCTTTTATGACCCAATTAAACAATATCTAATGGACATGATTTTTACTGTTGAAATCTATATAAATAAAGCACAATGTACACGTGTCCATCTGTCTGTCTTTTTTTTTGTTCATGGTGAAGTAACAGGTTGTAACCACTCTCGTTATACACGATAAAAAATTAAATAATTTATTGAAAGTTAAATTTAAATATTGAACAGAGTGAAAGGTTTAAAAAAAAAATTCTTTATTTAACTTTAATTTCACTTCTTGTCGCATTTGCAATTGATATCATCTAATTAAACCATAATTAAAACTTAAGTGGAGCATGGTACATTGCTCATGTTTTTTTAATTTCTTTTTCTAGCATGAATGCTGTGACATATTCGAAATATTATATAGTTCAGGTTCCCTAATGTCTTTAGTGACTTTATTTGAAGTGGTCATAAAGAATGGTGAGTTTTAAAACAAAATAAAAATGGTGTGCAAAATAAATGTAAACAAACTACAGAGATTGGTTGCATATATGAAGAAAGATTATGCTGAATTAAATGAAGATAAAATAATTTTATTATTTGAAAATTCTTAACTTTTTATGCACATAGGATGCTGAAGATAAGACTGAAAGCCCAAAAACCTTCCACAGGAGCTAGCCTGAAGGACGGCTTCTAGGCTAGTTATGAAATAAAATTTACTGAAACAATTTTTGTAATACTATGTATTTCACCCCAAACAAGAGAATACCACCATGAAAATTCAAGGGGTTACTAAGTGTTAAAGACTATGGGGGGGAAAAATCACTATTAAGGAGAGAAAACAATAAAAGAATTAAGACACAAGATAACAATTGACATTGCACTTAAAATTTTGAAGATCAAAGTTGACTGGGAAGCAAGAAACCAGAAAAGAGTTCCACAAGCAAGAAGTGTGGCTGAAGAAACTGTTAGCATAGAACTTATGGCTACATCTGGTCATTTCAATTGTAAAATGATGAGATTTTACCGCTAATCTAGTGCTATACTTAAATTAATAAGATCTAGGTATGATAAAGGAGAGTCCATTTGAACAATTACCATGTAGAAAAGGCAGAAGGAAGCGTCATTATGGTGGTAGGAAAGTGACTGAAGCTGAGATGCCAGGTCAGGACCAATGACATTGTAGATTCTTCTTTGGATTTTATCAAGGATCTCTATCTAATGATAGCAAAATGCACTTCTTGCATAATGTTTACTTGATTTTTCTTAGAGAAATATTTTCTGCTATCATTACTAAAATTGGTCTGTGATATTTTCTATTCTTGTTTTTTTCTCCGACTTGATAAAAATTTGTGTTTTGTTCCCTCTTTCCTTTTATTATACTCTGAAATCTTTGACATGTCCAATACAGACCAAAAATAGAGTCTCCATTAATACTCAGGTGTTTAAAGGTACTTAAATTTGTAACCATATTCTAAACATAAAGCTTTGCTTTACTCACATTTCTTGTCTTTTCAATTTATCAAAAACTATTTTAGAAAGAAACACTAACAGAGAAAGACTAATATCCAACTATTATTATTATTTTCATGACAAGATCTGTTAAAGAATATTTTTCCTTGGGTAAAATTCTTCTAGCTTTCTTGAATCAAATCCGAGCATAACTGTCAAAGTTTACCTGCTAGTAGCCGCATGAAATGCTCATTCAGTCAAGCAAAATGTAAATTTACTCTGTCTAACTCTGCTTCATGACAATGCTTGGCCACCAACTTGGGAGATGAGACTTTGCCATAACCACCACGTTCCACAGATCTCTTATCTACTGTCTATCTCTTTTCAAGCGTCTTGCTAACTTTTAAAGTCAAGACATTCTGTGGCAAAGAAAATACAGAAACTGTATTCAAAGATTTTTTGGCATCCAGACCTTTAGAGTTTTATTGTAAATATATAAATGATCTTGTAATGATGACACAAATGCATAGATGTTCAGAGTTCCTATTTTGACTGATTTAAACACTGCCTAAATCCATTAATTCAAGATGAAAAGTTAAGAAAATTGGACATTATTTTTCAAACAACCTAATATTTTCATGACGCAACATATATTGAATGGGATAATTTTGCTTGGGTAAAAAGTCATCTAGGTACTGCCTAAAACTGTCAAGTGATAATACGTCTTCAAAAGATTCTCTAAAAAGAATACTTCTAAATTATCTTTGGAAATGTGGTTCTGTTTAAAGATACTTTGCATGTTTGTTCAAAAGAAACCATTCTGAGAATTCTTGATGTAGACAGTAAAAAGAAAGAAAATTGTTAGAAATGAAATTTCAATCAAGAGACCAGATAAGGCTTGAAGCAAATAAGCTTTGATGAAAAAAGACTGTTTCTTTTTTATTCAGCTGCATTCTTTGAATTTTTTTTTTTTTTTTTTTTTTTTTTTTTTAATGAATCAATCATTCCTTTAAATTCTCTAGATTTCTTATCACATTATTTACCTTTTTGAGTTTCTTTTTTTTTCTTGTGTACAGTTTGGTGAAGTACTGCACTTGAGATTTCTCTTCAGATTGCTGTCAGAATCTTTGAATCTTGATGCATTGAGTGAAAATTAAATGATGTCCTCACAACTTTTTCAATAGAAACCAAGAAATCACATCTAGTATTCTGTCAGTTCAGATAACCTGAAGAAGGCCAGAGAGCACAGTGACCGAAATGTGATAATGGCAGCCAAGATGGGTCCAAATGTAAATAATAACTACTCATACTAGAAATTCAAAGAGAAAAACAGGAATATTTCTTTGTGGAAAAAAAAAAAATTCCCTCACCTTATCTTGAGCACTTGGAGAGTGAGTGTTTGTGCTCAACTTTTTTTTTAATGAGTTTGAGTGAAGGTTAGAGTGCTCTCATATTGTAAATCTTTAACTGATTTTGGTCTTGTGCCTATGTTGGTGTTATCAAACAAATGATCTTGTTCATTGCAGCCATGTTGATCAAACTGCTGTTATCATCACATGTAGCATATATCAAATTTTTTTTTACAGTTGATTATATTTTTCACTGAAGTGTGTTCTTTGATTTTCTAAACTATGTACATGAACAGTATCTTTATTATTTTACCAACTTCTAGAAATTGTGACTCATTTGGGATGAAAGCATCAATTTTTTTTGTCATTATTTAGTGAGTGAAGTTTTGGGACTTATCAACCTAATTTCACAGTAACCGTTTTTTAGTAGAATAGAGACTATTAGAATTTTTGTTATTGTTGTTTTTCACTCACTGATGCCCCGAAGGACACATGGCCCAGTGAATAAAAGCATTGGTTGAAGTGACTTGGCCCAAAGAGGTGTGAGTTCAATACCTGGCTACAGCAGAGGTGAAAAAAAAAATTTGAGAGTTAAGTTACTAAAGGGAATTAACTGAAACTTAGATATCCAGAAAAGGCATAATGTATTGAACTTGAACAATCTACTACCATAGTTTAAAATTCCAACATATCACGTGATGAAGATTCGAGCATACAATGCCTAAGATGTGAATATGGCAATAAAAATGAGGACAACAGTCTGAACAATGTAAATAGTGTAAGTAAAGTGACAGTGTATGCAATGATGAAAATTTGAAATTATTCTTGTTTCCATTCTCTGAGATTTTTTGTCAATGTTTCATGCTGCACTGTCTTTTAATGATGAAATATTGCAACATTCTTTACCAAAATTTTGAATTTCTGTGATTTAGTTCTTCAAATTTTAACAGGGTTTTTACCCTAAGATTTTCATTTTATTTGATTTTTAAGAATCATTTTAGTTGGTGTAGTGTTAATTCATAGTCTCTTAAAAATCGTAAAATATAAAATTTTTATTCTTCACTCTAACAGCAGCCATTAATTGATTAAAAGAAACATTTAATGTACATTTGGTGAAATTTGGCATTATTGAGATCATTTATTTTAGACTAACTTTATTTTAATTGCAATTATTTTCTGACTAGCAATAACTCATATGATTATTTATATATATATATATATTATTTATTATATATATATATATATATATATATATATTTTTTTATTTATATATATATATATATTTTTTTTTTATTTATATATATATATATATTTTATTTTTTTTTATTTATATATATATATTTTTTTTTTTTATATATATATTTATTTTATTTTATATATATATATATATATTTTGTTTTGTATATATATATATATATATATATATATATATGTTTTTTTATTTTATATATATATATATATATATTTTTTATTTTATATATATATATATATATTTTTATTTATATATATATATATATATATATATATATATATATTTTTTTTTTATATATATATATATATATTTTGTTTTATTATATATATATATATATATTTTTTTTTATTTATATATATATATATATATATATATATATATTTTGTTTTATATATATATATATGTTTTGTTTTATATATATATATATATATATATATTTTTTTATTTATATATATATATATATATATATATTTTGTTTTATATATATATATATATATTTTGTTTTATATATATATATATATGTTTTGTTTTATATATATATATATATGTTTTTTTTTATATATATATATATATTTTGTTTTATATATATATATATATTTTGTTTTATATATATATATATATTTTTATTTTATATATATATATATATATGTGTTTTATATATATAATTTTTTTTTCATAACATTGAACATTATTTTTGGTGGACACTCTTATTTGAGTTGCTCTGTTTATTTAAATAGTAATTTTTTCTTTTACCCACATGCATATTTGTGAAGACTAAACAAAGAAAATGTGTCCTCCATCAGGATTTGAACTTGCATTCTCCTTTACAAGTGGCACCATTGTCTAATCTGGCATGCTTTAACACTCAGCTATGAAGAGTTTCACAATAAAGCAAGGTTCTACTTTGCCTTTAAATGACACTCACCTGTTCAGATTTTTATTTTTTGATCAGGCATAATTTTATTACTTCAAACAATAATTTTAGTGAGTACTATTACATAATTAAATGCTCTGTTTAAATAAATGTAGTCTTTACTCATATATGATTATCTACTAAAAATAATGCTTAAAGTAATGAAAAATTACAATGCACAAATTAATTAGAAATATATGTATATTCAAGATCCAATTTACACTTGTAGACTTTTTTTGATGAGCTTTTATAAGAAACCTCTAATTTTGGCCATATATAATTCTTCCACCAGTTGAGACATTTACAGCTAAGACCCACCATGCTATGTAAAAAGTTGGGTGATAAACCATCCTCATTCCCTTCATATTCCATTGGCAAGTAGGAAATCCCCTTCAGACAGATTTTTTCCAACAACTGCTACTTTATGGATTAGACTCCTGAAAGGATGTTCCTCCGAACTACAATATTGAAAGTATGTCCCCCCGAACTACAATATTGAAAGGATGTCCCCCGAACTACAATATTGAAAGGATGTCCCCCAACTACAATATTGAAAAGGATGTCCCCCGAACTACAATATTGAAAGGATGTCCCCCCCAACTACAATATTGAAAGGATGTCCCCCGAACTACAATATTGAAAGGATGTTCCTCCGAACTACAATATTGAAAGGATGTCCCCCTGAACTACAATATTGACCTCTTCAAGTCTAGAGTCACTCATTATCTATTATGTATCCTTATGACCAACACTTACTTCCCTCACCTTGATCCATTCAACATCTTCATTTAATAACTCTACACCTTGAGTGACTCTTGGGGCTGGTATTAAGTGAACATTTAGTAAAATAAAATAAAAATAATTATTTATCATCATGATGCAAGTTTTCTCAATCTGTCAAACTTTTACAAGAGAATGTTTGTTGGTCTTTCAATGTAAGTCATACAAATCTTCAGTCCATAAATTAAAAAAAAAATATAAAATCTGATTTTTTTTTTTTTTTTTTTTTTTATTGCAGAGCAAGTAATTGTGAGATGGATATCATATTGGGAATGTGTCAGTGCCTCATGTTACGACACAACTTCAAGAAAGCTTTGGAATTGATCAACCAGTTGATTGTGGCCTATTCTGATCTTTTACCTGGCTTTGAGGAGAAAATGAAGCTGCTGTTGGCTTTGAAGGACTGGGAACAAGTGACAGACACGGCTTCTAGGTGAGGAGACATTGACATAACAATCTTGAATAGTTATATCCTAAATGAATGTGAGATGAGATGGGGCTTATTGTAAGATCAGCTACTCAGGTTAACAACTCTCAGTTCTGTAAAAACATCTCAGTTGTGTGTGTGTGTGTGTGTAAACTTTTTGAAGCAGAGATCCAAAGCCATGAGCTGTTGCATACATACAAAAAATTCCTCTTAAGTGAGGCTGGTTAAAGAAGTATGTACATTTGAGTTAACACCCCACCGATATATTTTCAATAGCTTGGTTTTCTCTTCCTCACACTTCTTCTTTTTCCTTTTTTGCATCCTCCACCTCTCTTCCAATCATACCCAATGCCGTGCATTTATTTATTTTTAAAAATGATATAGCATTCATTGTTTTTGTTTTTTTAAATAAAGCTTTGGGAGGTCAATTGATAAAAATTGCCTGAGGATGCTGTAAGGTTGAAACCAAGGTAGTGGAATCAAATGATCTAATTTTTTAAATAAAAGCTCTACTTGTTATTGTCTATTTTTATCTTTATTTGTTCCACATGTATATTGAGCAATTTTAATAATACTGTTTCCTGATCCAATTCAACACTGACTATTAAGTGTTTTTATATATATATATATATATATATATATATATATATATGGGAAAAGGTGATATAATTCTTGATATACCAGAATGATTAGGAAAATTAATGACAAAGTGGGAAAAATTTACAAAAGTGATAAAACACATAAACAAAAGAAACTGCTGTATATATTCGTGTACAAGCTGACTTCATATATAAGTGTGAATTTGAATTTTGGAGCTAGACACACCTATAAAAAAAAAAAATAAAATATAAAATATAAATGTCTCAGCATTTTAAGTGTTTCTTATTTGTGCATAATTATAACCAAAGCTTGTGTTTTTATATTCCCCCTACCATACATATACACAGGTAGTTATATCAACAGAAACATCACTTTAGTCAGAACTCCTAAGGAACAAAATCTGTCACACAAAAAATATTTTTCCAGTTTGTCATTAATTTACCTTTTTATATATATATATATATATATATATATATATATATATATATATATATAATAAAAAAAGCTTAAACACTAATATTCCATGGTCATTTGGAAACACATTTATGAAAGTACGTTTTGAAAATAATATCTGCTAGTGCATTTCGCCTCTAATGGCTTCATCAGATGGATATTTTCTACCGATTCTGAAAGATTTTCCATCTCAAAATTCGGACTCTTAAGGTGGAGAATATAAAATTTTAAATAACTTTTTTAAAAGTCACTCATTTGCTTTCTCTTTTTTTTAGTCTCGAGCAATGCCAACTTGAGGAAATTAATATAAGATTTAATTATTTTAAACACACACAAATGCATACACACACATCTTTTTGTTATCCATCTTTCGAAGCTATTAGAAATGAAATGCATTATTGGATATTATTTTTGAAAAATACTTTCATGAACGTTTTTCCAAATCTCAATAACTTATAACTCTGGATTACATACCCAAATTTATCACACAGGCATATGGCAGAATGATTAGAATATTAGCATTCTGACAATGCTACATGGCTTCTATCCTAATCATGTTTAATTTGTTAAGGAAGTGTTATAGTAGAACACACCATTTTCTATAGTTAATAGACTCACCTACCTATAATAAGTAGAAGTAGTAAGAGTAATGAGTTAGTCACTCAGTGAGTCGATGTCGGACAACATTTAATCGAATACTAAAGTATCAGCGACCACAACTATATTACTCTGCGTTATACCTATTATATCAAGTTCCTAATGTTTTGTATGTTGAACCTATTTTAGGACCGACTTAGTACAGATACAAGCCTCCACTGTGAAATCACTCCACAACAGGAAGTGACTTCCTGACAATATTGGCCTGGGGAGACTATCCTGTTGTGTGGTCATGTTGGGATGTGCATTAAACAATGCCAACTGTTGACTCAAGCCTTGTCAGTGAAATTGGGTAGATGAAACCCTTCAGAAATTGAAGGCTGTGCTTGCATGAAGTCACAAGTCATTGTGACAGACGGTTTGAGCGTAAAGTCCTTGTCTAAACTGTTGATACTTCCAGAAACTGTAAATTACATCCAGTCAACATAGCTGCAGTATAAACCACAGGTGGGCTCTGTGGGTGTTGAACGAACCTGAGCAGGAATCTGCAACAAGGATTAGCTAGTCACCTTAACAGACAATTGTACTTGCTACTTCCTGACAAACCACCAGCTATTTTTTTTGTGTGTGTTTAAAGTTAAGATCATGGAATTAGTAGTTTTATTATCATTTATCAAAGATTATTCCAGTGGTTAGCTTAAAAGAGGGTTAGACCACTTTATTTTATCTAAGGAATTTTCATTGTGCTCATGAAAGGACTCTTCGTTTACTTGTTTGTTGTTGTTTTCTTTTTATAATTAACAGTTTGAATCTATGTATGAGGGTCAGCTGGAAAATTCATAGGCTGACCAAGATTTAAATGTAAATAGACACACCAGTTGGTAGACTAAAAAACATGCAAGTGTACCAGAATACTACAACTGGTCAGCCAGCTGTTGTATTCTGGTAAGCTTTTAAACTGGTGTGTCTAATTACAATTATAAATTGGTCAGCCTATGAACTTTCCAGTTGACCATCCTATCTATTTTAGAGCAATATTTAAATAGACATGTCTGTTTTTATCATAATATCGATACAATATAAAATTGATCCTTGACTTTTTTAAAGAGTTCTTGGATGGCAATTTGTTTACAAATGTTAAGTTTGAAACTATGCTGATGTCATTGCTATTGTTATACTCTGCTTCAAATTAAATTTTTTTCTGATTCACTCTACATGTTGGCCAGACGTGAATGTTAAAGAAAGCAAAATAAATAAAGTCATACTCTGCGCATGGGCTTTGAGCATAACATGGCATCTGGTCCACGAAACAAATCTCAAAAAAAAAGAAAATATATATATATATCTGTCTATATTTCTGAGATGAGGTATTATGTAAATAGTGTATATATATATATATATATATATATATATATATATATTACAACATAAAATAATCAGTCATAAAGATTAACACCAAAGAAAACTCATGAAAAAAAAAAGCTGAGTCTGGGAGCCACCACATTTCCTTTAATAAAGCCACCCATAAACAACAGATTTGCTGCAGATGACAAGCTTCACTTATCCACTCACCACCATGACCTCATTCACGCAACCTGAGTAATTCATCAACTTCAACCCTTACCAACTCTATCCTTCCTTTAATGCTGTCTTCCTTGCCTACACTGCATTTACTATTCTTGTCTTTTCCTTCCACCTTGCCTATGTGACACTATTTAGCACTGGTAAATGAAAAGAAGGGTTAATGAAAAGAATGATGGATGTACCGAGAGAGCGTCGGTAAATGAAAAGAAGGGTTAATGAAAAGAACAACAGATATCCTGAGAGATTGGGGACTTTTCATTTCATGGGAAAGCTTAAGTCTTAGGAATCAGAAAAGTCACTTAAAAGCGATATTTTCCCAAGATGGCCGTGTGGTGAACTCTTTGACAATTAATTGATGACCTATCCTTAAAAGTACTGGTTACAAAAAGAGAAGTGGAGAGAAAAGAATAAGATTTGATCTAATAAAAATTCAAGCCATATGGTAAGTGTTTCATTCTGAACAAAGACAACAAACCAGTGCATGAAATTTTGTGTCGGCAAAATTTGAAACGCTAATTCTTTTGATTAATGGCCTTAGAGTTAAGCCACACCAAGCAGTCGAGAGCTATTGGTCAGAGAGTAGCCAAGGTGGCAGGTGCAAATGGAATGTCAAAGGAGATGAAGGAATTGCACACATCCATTGGAAAGTGTTAGTGTGGGGTACCAGTAATAGAAGAAAGAAGTTATTGGGGAAGATCAATACCTGCAACTGCTACCCATGGGAGAGGGGGATCTCCCCGAATTGGAAATGTAATTAATTTTTAGAACCCAGACAGCAGAAAGGAGTTCTTGTTGGAGATAAAGGAAATACCGAATTCTCTAATCGAGTCGTGCTCCTCGCCAATTTTAGGTGAATGTCAATAACTACGAAGGAATCGAAGCAAGAATAGAGAATTGTTCCAGACGCTGGACAAGAACGACCTCATGTGACTATCGGCCTGAAGAGAACCTCCAACATCAACCTTGTGCTGAACTTCACCAAGCCTGCCAAAATGTCACGTCTAACTTAGAAGTGAGGTGGGTCAATAACTGTCTGCATGCAAACTGCTAGATTTTAACAACGAACTAACCAAAATATTGTATGAAGGAACACATATAAAAAAAATTGTTTTTTTTTTTTATTCAAGTTATTTTTTTCTTACATCTTCATTCCACTTGAATCCTAACCCAATACAATGCTTCCCAATGACGATTCTATCTTTGCCGGCCTTATGATCAAAAATAATCACAACATGTGATAAGGCAAAGCCTTAATCGAAGCAGTCATTTCATTGATCAGTCATGGGTGTTGGCTGTCAGGGTGACCAGGGAAGGACTTGAAAGCGACACCAGCAGTACATGTCTTTATAACATTATCTATGTGCGAAAACATTTTTTTTATTTTATGAAGATAAACAGACATATACATTTTTACATGTTTTATTTTAAGGAAATATTTTAAACTAGCAATTGTTTGGCAAAATAGATTTTCTTTCATCTTTTCACAAGATTTTTTTTTTTTTTTTTGTCATTAAAGAACAGATGTATACATTTTTAAAGTTGTGCCACAATTTTTTTAATTAAAGGACCAACATTTACATTAGTTAACAAAAAGATGAAAATATTTATGCTGTTATCAGTAACATAAATACATTTTCAAAGCATGATATTTGTAAATAAAAAAAAAAAAAATGTGGTGTAAAAGTCAGAGATCAATTTGACACTGTATCAGTATTATGAATAGGACACCCACTTCTGTCTAAATTGATTAAAAAAAAATTGATATTTTTCAA